ATTTGGCGTTAATTAGGTCTATATTTGAACATTGTTCTGTCATATGGTCCCCTCAATCTGCAACTCATCTTCAACAGTTTGTTGCTATCCAAAAGAGGGCTATTAAATGGATCAATGGTGAACCCTACTCCAGTTATAATGACGATAAACTTGCTACAGAGCAAAAGAAGCTAAATATTCTCCCTGTCATGCAGAAGTGTATTTATAACGATCTTATGACCTTCTATAAAATAGTGAATAGCATAATCCCAGTTTCGCTTCCTACTTATATAGTCCTATGCCGTCCAGAGGGCACCCGATACACTAGGCACAATGCTCAAATAATTGATAGGTCGGATACTTCAACTTACATGAGTACCACTGTGCCCTGCTCGGATGCCTTCCGAAATAGCTTCTTTCATAGATCTATGCTAAAATGGAATAGTCTACCAGTATGTATCCGGCAGTCAGAGCGGATTTCTACTTTTAAGGCCAATCTGATCAAGTACCTCTGGGCTGCCGATACAGTCTGGCCAGACTAGTCTCAGAAATGTGTTTTTGTTGGTTACAATTCTGTCCGTCCAATTTCCTATCTGCTTGTCCTTCTTTTTCTTCTATCAGTTGTGACGGAATTGTAATGAACAAAATCCATATATAATTATTTATGATATGTTTGATTTCTTGTTATTGTATGTCATTCAAATTTGGTAGACGGCCCCAACGTTAATGTGGCTTTTGCTATGTGTTGGTTCAGCCGAATTAATTATTATGTAATCAAGTTTATTTTTCTCTTTTAGTTAGTTGTCACCCGGCCAAACATTAAGCAACTTATATTGCAGCACCATTTTTCAATTAGAATATTAAAATATGTCATTGTAATTTTGCATGGCTGAAATGTAACGCTTGATTTGTATATATAATAATTAATTGAATTTTCAAATAAAAAATGTTGTTCAGATCCCAAGATATCATAAACATAAAAATATATTTATATTTCAGTGAAATTCGTCATATTGAAATGTTGAAATTTTAGAAATAGGCTATTAAATGCAAATGTGATAATGAACAACATGTTCAGTGATTTAAAACACAAACAGAACATGCAGAAAACATACATTTTTAAGTAATTCAAATGAATTATCATAACTGAACAGTTGATTCAAACATATAATTGCATAGTAAATATGTGCAGAGATGATGTCATGAAAATGAATCTCAGTCGATTATGCCTTACTTTTTCTACATATTGTCAAGTTACCACCCTGACTGCAGTATCTCAAAAGTAACCCACAAGTCCACAAGAAAATATGCCACAATTTGTGCTGGCTTCTGTCCCTGGATGCTTGAAGGTGTACTGGATAAGCGGTCCGTTTCAGATGATTTCAAAATGATAATCTTCTCTGAATGTTTTCGACCAGGACAGTCCAAAGCTGCAATTATGATATCTAAATACCGTCGCGACATCTTTTGTAACTTTTTATCAATACAGACGTTCTCAAGTGTAACTAATAATAATTTTACATCGTCTCTATTAGGTTCATTCTTATAAAAGTGTATAGTAATAGTTCGACAATCACAAACATTGACATTACGCGATCTTCTGTAGTACCTTCATTGATGTCTGTGCAATAAATCGTTACCTCTCATTTTGTCAAAAAGATGTCTTGCTTTTGTTTTTATTAATCGTTTTTTTCTGCGAGAGCTGACTAATCTCACTGTATCTATTATCGAATATCGATTGATCGCAGGTCGGTGACTGATATTTTTGACAGGCTTGATATGGAGTCAAAAACGTCTTTTCCGTTCAGAACAAAATCATACTATACTTTGAAAGATAAATTTTTGTCCAGTTCTTTTTGACAAGTCAAATTTAGCAGTATAGCTTCAAGGATGAAGGAACACATCAATATAAGCAATAAGCTCCTCCCTGCCTCCCAGTTTTTATAACAGATCTATCTGATCCGTCTCCAGTTTGTTGATATCTGACATGCGGTAGAGATGAATTATTGTAAGGAGCTAAAACTAGAACCAGTTCGTCATACGTCTTTCTCCCCATTTTTTGAGAATAAACCAGCACCCGTCAAATAAGCCTGACAACTTATAACCTCTGTTAATTTTGCTTCTCCAACGAACTTTTACATAAATCTTTAAGCCACTCCACTTCAAACACAACAGCTAGCTTATTCATCTCTCTGAACATGGCATCCTCAATCTCATCAACTTTTACCAACTGTCTATCCTCGAGTACATCTAAAAACAGAGTCACAGCTTCAGGTGAGAAATCTTCCATGTCAATCTCATCGAACTTCATTTCATCTATGAGATATCTAAACATGCCACTGTTAGTCTTTCTTTTGGGACAATTAAAGGATCCCCATTTGTAATCTTGATGACGATAGTTTTGTCTTCCAAGCTGAGTTCTGGGATGTTGCCAACTTAAATGTTTAACATAAGTTAAAACAAACTGATATACGTTACAAAACTGACAAAACTATAATTATTGAAAACAGCTTAAAAGAATCTAAAAATGAAGGCATCGGAACAACTTCTTCACTACTCACACACACACACGAGTAACAGTGCAGCATAGATAATACTGAACTTCAGAATGAGATTGAGGAGAATGGCCAACTATCGAAGTAGATTAAATTCAAAATGCAGGAAGAAATCACGTTATAAAGGTTAATTATGAATTCAGTTAATGAATCTGATTTCTATCCTAAGAATAAGATATCATAATCGATAAAGTGATCGAAAAATGTATAACAGCTATCTTTTTGTTGAACAACTTATGTAATTTCGATTATGTTATATTCACATTTTATAACAGATTCTATAATCACATCTTATTCCCTGCCGTTTTCTGACAAATGTGCTTAAAGACCATTTTTGAAATTCTGAATTCTTTAACCCTAATTTATTTTTTGGGGCAAGAACTATCCCTGAAAATCATCAGATAATATTAAAACCAATCGCCAGCCCCCTTTTGGAACCACCTAAAATGCCAAAATTTGTCAAAAAAATGCTTAAAAACCTCGGATTTTAAACATTTAAGTGGTCTTTAAGGACTTTTGTCAGAAAACGGCAGTTCTGGTTTAATGCATCAATATGTCAATACAGGAATGAGGTAACCTTCTTACTACCTCGTCAAGTTATTCAGTTATACACATAGATATAATATGTGAAGGCGAACCGGTCACAAGGGCGAAAGTCACGAGGACGTAGGTCACGAGGGCGGAAGTCACAAGGGCGAAGTACCCAACCTTTTAGGAAACTTCCGCCGTTGGGTCCTTCGTCCTCGTGACATCCGCCCTCGTGTCCTATACCATGTGAATTTGTTTGCAATAAAGTCACAATTACTAGGTTTACATGAGAGATCTTTTTACGAGGTATGTATTGTCTTATTGTCCCATTTTTCCATCTTGGAATTTTGCCAAGCCTCATGGAGTTGCTAATTCTACTTTTTAAGGCACACTAACCTTATCAGCTGATAATCATTGATTATTAATGTAAATATTGTTAATTATGAATTGTCCCTGTTATTCGTTTGTTTGCTTTAGCAAACTCTCTGATCACGTAATTGTTCACATAATAAATAAAATTTCACTTTATAGTTGGAACTTTCACTAAGATGACATATAATTTGCTAGAGCTGAATCAGCTTATACTCTAGTTCACAACACTAACAACGCTTCAGAAATTGTTATTTTAGTGGACATGGTTATGCCGTTAGGATTCTAGTCTATAACCAAAGAGCATACTGTATACAATATTACCTCCGTATATAATATTACCTCCGCACTCCGCAGCCTTAAGGCTGTGTCACAACTCGATGTCTAATATGTATGAACATTGAACAATTGGTTTACGCCACCTTGTTTATACCATATTGACGCCATTTTTCCTGACTTAACATTGAGTGAAAGTACAATCGTCTATTTGAAACAGGGACAAAAGAAAATCACGATTATTTAGTCCAAAAATCGCGGCGGAAATCTCGAAAATCGCGGCGACAGATAATGTATTTGCAGAGCAAAGTTAAATTTCATATATTCGTTAACTAGCTTGTTAGTCTAGTTAGATTAGCTATAAATACTGAGCAGAGCTTGCTTTTAGATCAGCCCTTCCAGACGATCTCGAAAGTTCCTCCCAGCTCGCCAGAACGGAACTCGATGTTCCACTTCGAATATGTACTCATATACATAATATTATTAGTTAACTTTTGTCAATACTTTACCATACTACACGTAATCAAACAAATAAACCCTGTTTACAATGAGATAACATCACGTGTTTTGATAACAAAGCTAGAGACTAAGGGGTATGGAGCACACTGCTTTTCATGTGTTTTTTTACCATGAGTTCCTTTTCACAAATTGTACTACTAGTCTTAACTATAATTCTAAAGATTATCTTTTGGGGGACCAAGGGCTTATCTTCCGAGTATAAAGCAGACACTCCTGAATTTTAAAGTAAAATAGGCCCCTAACGAAAGTTTACCGTACACAACGAATCCAAGGCCCTGGACGTAGCTAATATTTTTGAAAGATTAGACAGATTACTTTAACCACGAGTATATAACGAAACTGCGAACGAATTAATTAAAAACCTTCCCTATAACGAACCTAAGCCACAAGATAAGTTTTTTAATTCGTTTTAACTTCATTCGATAAACAAAAACGTTGAATGTATTAAGTGGACCAAAGAGAACTTTGCTCTATGCAATTTATAAACTAAAAATTACAGCAGATCTGAGAATTCTAGTCGACCTCCAATGTAATCATAATAAACTATATTATAAATAGAATTAAATGAGTAGTTTCACCTGTATATCATGGGAAATCACGTAATTTACTTTTAAGGCACATCCCAACCCATCATGGGTTTACTACTACTTCAACTATCATTACTGGTTAGGGATTCGGACTACAAATAACAATATGTCATGATACAGAATTCGTGATAATCAAACTAATTACAATTAACAATCAACACAAATCACTTTTTACATATCCACATACCTGTGATAAAGACTGCTGCTTTGACTTTTTCTCCATGTTCAGCCTCATCTCCGACTCTTCATTGGCATCGTTAAGGTTCTGTATCTCATCCGCGGCGTGGGTCACTTTGTCGTGAAGCACCTTGCGCGCGTCGTGTATCGCGTAAACTTCCGTGTCGCTCAGGATCGGGTAATCTTCCACTCTGATCTTGATGTTATCAGTTCGTGTGTGGAGTTTTAGAAAGTTTTACCGATAACATTTTAAACATATTTCAGTTATTCGATACTCATTAACAGTAAGAACTCTATTCTGTGCAGCAGTTGTGACTGCCAAATTTCTGGTGACAATCTACGTTATAAATAGGGTGAAGATTGTAATTTTATCGATTGATGATTTGCTGCCAATAACAGGCCCTAGAATTGGATTTTTTAAAAACTGCATATCATAGACTCCCTCCAAAGTAAAAGTGTATAACTATAATAGAGGCCTTACTGTAACGGTATATAAAGCTGTACGAGAATTATTAAAAGTGTATCATGGTTCTCTGAACAAGACGATTCAATCTGATTTAGCCAACCTCACGATTTATGTGTTCGTTGACGGGTGTTACCACAAGAGAATAGAGACTTCTCACTGTAGCTTGCATTCCTTCGACATCACTCACATGCGATATGTTGACGTTCTGAAGATATAAAGGTCTTAAATTACCATAAATTGCCATCTAAAAATATTCAAAAAAAGTCAAATGTTTGATGTTTATAAACATCAAACATTTGACTTTTTTAACGTATAAATACGTATTTTATAATGTATTCATCCGCTTAATAATATGATACGATCTACTTTCCATCAGAAATTTGGCAATTGAGAAGGATTTTATTTGAAAATAATCTAAGACTAACATTTTTGTTAGATAGTTGAAATTCCAGATCATGTACAGTGGTTGAGGCCTCCCTCTCTAAAGCAGATATGGTGGTCCGTAGCCTTCTGTTTTCCTCCATCAGATCAACATTTTCGTACTGAAATAAATCAAGGTTAACAATATGGCGACATTTATAGTATCATTACATATCTGTGCAAAAGTGAAACAGATGTTACATTTAAAGTTTTGGAAAACTTCGACTTCGAGGGTAGGGCTACAATTTCAAGTTGAATTAATATATCAATGTAATTATAACTGGTTAGGTACATTAGTTGTGTATCTTTCGGGAGTACTTGTGTCCGTTGGGAGAAAACTGTACTTGGCTGCCATCACATATTCTGAATCTAGAAGCATTTCAAGTGAGATATTTCCATAGTACTTTATAGATTGATGTAAACTTTCAAGTACTTGATTAGTTTACATCACATTAGTGTGATGTAAACTAATCAAATACTTGCAACTAAAAGCTGAATTCAAAATATTTTTGATACTACTTAATATCGTTAAATCTTGCACTCTTCAGAATGAAGGTGATGAAGCAGTAAAGAATCCAAATAGTAATTAAAAACCATGTTTAAATCAATAGGTATTTTATCTAAGAACCACAATGTTACACATCTTATCTCAAAACAAATTCAATTTTAGTACAGTAAGAATAAATTGTACACTAGTAAGATACAAAACCCAAATAATTTGATACATGCTCTAACTCAATAATATAGCAGAAACCAAATAATAATATTCAACAAACATTCATGTAACTAAGGCCTAGGTACAGTATCCATGACCATCCCAAATCTCAAACTTTTGTCAAATCAGCAAGAGATAATATGCAAACAGAATCTAATTATTTGACATCGCCTTGAGATCTTCATCCTCAGGATTTGCTGGCAATTCAAACACAGTGCCTTCATTTCCCATGAAACCATTATTCTTTATACCTCGAAGAAACTCCATGTATTCACCAGGTAAATTATTCTCCATTGCTCCCTTCAGAATAATACTATGATACACTCCACTGGGTACAGGATCCATATCCAGCCCTTTTACCAAATGATACGTTAAAACAGAAAGTTTCTTCGATTCTGGAGTTATAACTTCTTTGTTTTCCAGTCGCTGGTAAACATACGGGACTCCTTCTTGTTTGTCAAGAGATGGAAGATGTTTTACATCAATTTCCATACAACTCCCCAGACATGTGATCCTTTTTGAGGTTTAATAGTTGCACTTGCTCCACCCCATCCTTAGAAAAATTCCCAAAACTGAGCTTGTAGTCATCCAACCGAGCAATAGATACTTTCTTAGCAGATGGATTGTTTATGTGAATTCGTTCGGAAAACAAATTGCTTCCATATCCAAAATAAAGAAAAGTACCTACACCAGTTATTGTAGGTCGACATATTATCCAGCTTTTTGCCTAAATAGATAATTAACCATATTAATATTTTAAAGTTTTTAAAATGAATAGGGGGACCCCAAGTTCCAACCAATGTAGCTGAGACACCTCACAGCAAGTAGACCAAAGTGGCTCTTGTTTACAGTGGAAAGTGCATCAACACTTCGTCCGTAAAATTTTACGCGGTATAAAAACTACATTAATTATCTTACTATATATAAAGCGAGACGATATATATATATCATGTTCAGATTTTGGTGATAATGGATGTAAAGGTACTTCAACCGAATTAACAATCCAACCGTGTGTATGACGTGTCCCAGTAGCCAATCATAATATATGTATTTCTATCGGTGACACATTTGGATGGCGGTTAGATGAGTACACTACTCTCACAAGCATCTCGAGTCTCTCGGTGATCCTGCCTCCACACCACACTCAGTCTGGACTCCCTTCCGGCCGACCGAACTATTTTCCTAATATCTCCTAATATAACTTTGATCGAACAAGCCTAAATTCATGATGCACTATAAACTTGATTTGAGACAGAAATTTTAGACTATTTATCTGCTTACGTGTAATTCCAAACTCTTATCAGTTACCATGTCTTTTATCTAATTTTTATCAGCAGATTTATAAATCTGCTGTTCATTTGTAGTTATTACCTTGCTAGTTATGAGTAAATTTTTGCCTTCCATCAATTGAGTGCAGCTTTCAGTTTCAAAATTTTCAGTTTATTCAGATTTTTCGTTTTCGATATTGCAAATTTTTAATAAATCATGTTCAGATTATGGTGATAATGGATGTAAAGGTACTTCAACCGAATTAACAATCCAACCGTGTGTATGACGTGTCCCCGTAGCCAATCATAAGCAACCGCTTTCTTTTATTGTGTAGAAGTCCAGCCATGAAATATATATATATCCGTACCATTTTACTGACACCACGACATCAACTTTAACACGACTTTCCGCAAAAACCGTAAAAGATATACAACTTAAACTTTTTTGACTGGTTCAGATGCTCTAACATCTAATGGTCTTCAAATCAGGATGAAAAAATAAAAAATTGACCAAGGAATAATAATTTTAGTGCCCAAAATGTGGACCCCCAAGTGGTGTCAAAAACACGAATTAAATAGGTAATAATTATTTTAGTCTCTTGAGTCTTGACACCACTTTAGACGGGTTCCAGCTAGTCTATAAATATACATAACAAATCTAGGAGACCTCAAGGCTCGTTTTCTCCAAGATGCTAAACGATCTTTGGTTCCATCCTTATGTGACAAAAAAACCTTTTATAAATCTTTATTCCACTGGAAAGTTTTTAAAATAGGATAATGTTTTTGATAAAATTGTTTTTAAATATTGTATTTGATAAATAATTAATGTTGGTGGGGAAATATGTCATATGTATTATATATTTTTTCACATAGTGCGATGATATTTTGTAGACATGTGTGATGATGTGATGTCATAAATTTGACTTTACTTTACTTTACTTTGCTAGGCTGTTTTTTCTGATTCCCTGGCCCAGTGCAATAAGTGTTGTAGGTTTACAACCTGCCAGGACGCGCGCCGAGTTGGACTCTGTCCAATATATGGAACAGATATTTTACGAGTATCACCCGTTAAAATAAGTGTGCTTCATATATGTACATATAATTGATAATAGCATGTCAATGTTATTATGTTAAATTTTTCATTCTTATATTAACGGAATTTGAAATTGTAAATTAAGTTTTTTAAGGAATTATTTTGTTTGTATCACGTCGTGACCCCCACGGTCCTTTCACTATGATTTTTTTTTTTTTTTTTTTAAAGAGAGGCTGGGCCTGGTTGGCCCACGAGAGGATAGCATATGGATGCTTTGCCTACCTCTGGGCTATGGCAGTCCTGTGGGAGGATGCCAGTGGAATCAAGATGTGTAATCACGGATGATGGTGAGTGTTGTGGGGTGTGTTATAGATAAACGGTTAAGTGGTGGTTGAGTGTGGAAGAGAGGGGCGAAACAAGACGGCGTTAAAGTAGTCGCTATGTTACACCTGTCTGGTCCAACTCCTCCGGCACCACTAAGCGTTTAGTGTGGTTTGTAAAGTTGACAATGGTGGAGATGTGTTGGTTGTCGAATATGTCATTGACAGAGAGGTAGTAGTCCCGGAAATATTGACCTCTTATTTGGGCAATAGCCGGGCACTGTCCGAGAAAGTGTGAGACAGTCTCCTCTCCGTCGCCGCATTTAGGACAAGCACTTGTGTCTGATTTGTGAATGGTGTGTAGGTGTTTGTTGAGGCCACAATGTCCCGTGATGAGGTGCACTGCAGTTTCACTATGATGTAGAGTTTCTAAGATACAGCTGGGGAGCCGCGCAATCGTCATACAACGTATGACAAAATAAAATGTATAGTAACCTTGGAGTTGACATACGTTGCATGCCACTTTTTGATACGCAACATGTTAATTGACGATGTCAATTTATCTCAGCTCGGCGCGGCACTTGCTCTAACCAGAGCCCTCTCGCTTGCAGTAGCGCGCGACCGCCGAAACAAGCGCGTCACGCAGTACGCGTACGCGTACATACACATGGCTATATGAAGCGCGGCACAGTAGCGCATCTCGCCGATACAGACAGTATAAATGATAAAGGCATCGCGCTACAACATAATTGAGTGCGCGGCGCAGCAAGTAACGCATCGCGCTACAATATTTTCATTAAGCCTGTCGTTTCTACAATACAAGGGGAGCGGCGGATCATACAACGTATGACAATGCATTAGGTAATACTAATGGTCAATGATATAAATGAAATAACAATTAAATGGTTTCAATTTTATGAAGCAAACTAGCTACAAACAACAAACGGCTCTCAGCCTGTTATTCCGCCATATTTTCATTAATTGACGATGTTGGATGTCAATATTTCATCTCAGCTCGGCGAGGCCCAGTAGCGCCGTGCATCGTGCTACAATATTTTCATTAAGCCTGGGTCTTCTCGATCCCAGCACCCAGGTATAATTTATGTATTATGAACGCAAAAGCCTGAGGTTCCCAGGGAACATAACAATAAACAAGCAAGCTCAAATCTGCAATACAAGCTAAGCCTCAAAAAAATATTCCAGACAATTAATATTATTAAAATTTCGCCTAAGGATCTCAGGGCCGGGCTTCGATGACTAGAGAAGCAGAAAAAATCGAATTACTGAATATCAACTATCCTTTTACTCATACTGCTTTCGGTTATAATTGACGATGTCAATTCATGGCAGCTCGGCGCGGCACAGTAGCGCATTTCGCCGATCTGTCGCTGTGAGAAGCCTCATTAAGTGCGCGGCGCGGCACAGTAACGCATCGCGCTACAATGCTTTCGGCCACTTTCGATAAAAATGAATAACTTCCTGGCTAACTTCCTATGTTCACATATTAGCCATGTGTCTACACGTACTGCGTGACGCGCTTGTTTCACGGTCGCGCGCTACTGCAAGCGAGAGGGCTCTGGTTAGAGCAACTTAAAATGTAAAAAGGACAGCTCATATATATTTAACTTTAACCCCTACACCCAAATTAAAATAATCTACTCCAACTCCAACTTAAATTTTTAGGTTTATACATTATAACCTATCAAAATGCGCGCCGAGTTGGACTCGTCGACGGTCTTGAATATTCGAAACAAATATTTTACGAGTATATATCGCTTGTAGCGCGATGCGTTACTGTGCCGCGCCGCGCACTCAATGAGGCTTCTCACAGCGACATTGATCGGCGAGATGCGCTACTGTACCGCGCCGAGCTGCCATGAATTGACATCGTCAATTAAATATATCGCCTTACCTGTTAGTGTTAAACTTAAATTTAATATTTTAAGTCTATTTTATGTCTTACTGGGCCGCGCTCAGCCTGTCATTCCGCCTAATCTCTGTTTATGAACATAATAGCCTGAGGTCCCCA